GAGCTGCTGCAAACTTTCCTGCCCCTCTGTGGACCAGACCTGTGGCTCCCGCCTTCGCAGGAGCAGGATTGTGGTCCAGCCCTGCTGGCCTGCCATCAGCAGACACCAGAGGCAGTGGCCTGGGACAGGCCACAGGGGCGACCGGGGTGCAGGGAGCCCCTCCTGCCCACCTCGTCCCTGCCCAGGCCCAGACCCTGTTAAGGCTCTGTGCGAAGGCTGGCTGACTCCAGGCTGGCCAGGGGTGGGTGTGCCTTCCCGTAGCTGGCTAGCAGGGCTCATCCACCGACAGGCCATGTGGTGCCAAGGTCCTGCCAGATGAGAACAAGCCATCTGAGGCCCCCATGGCTAGGATCACTGTGGCTGGAGCAGAGGCTGGGAGGTGGGCCCCTGAGTCTCCTCTGGAGGGCTCCCCTGCTATGTGGAGCATTGGAATGGGGCTCCCCAGGTCACTGGAGCCCCAAGACAGTCCCCCTCTTAGAGCCAGAGCCCTAGTCCCTCATCCTGACTCCACCTGCAGCAGGCGGCTTCCTGCCTGCCAAGGGGCTGCTTGATTTGTGCCTGTGTTGTGGTCCTCACCTCTGCCACCCTCACCTCTGTACGGAGCAGCCTGGCTGCCCAGGCCCCAAACCTGGCACTGTGTCCCGGACCCCTCCACACCCCACTGGGGTCCACTCACTCTGGCCTCAGCAGAGAGGGAGCAGGGTAGCTTCCCGTGGGCATCTGACCTGGGGTGCAGGGCCTGCCACAGGGAACTTGGGACCCCAGTGTCATGCTCCCCCCCGCTCTGGGGACAGCCGAGGCTGTGTCAGGAACACAGAGGAAACTGCACTGTGCCCAGGCCTGCACAGGGAGGTCTCTCCTGCAGTGCCCACAGGCAGTTCCTTCCCTCCGTTGGTACGTGAGCCAGGGCTGATCAGGTTCAGCCAGTCCTCTGCCCTCTGAGTGCCCAGGCCACACAGGAGCCTCTGGGAGCCAGTGGCCAGCCCAGGGTGAGCTGCCTAGGTTCTGTACTCCTAGCCTGCTGTGACTCACAAGACCAAGCTGCCAACCCTGGTCCTTGGGCCCTGACCTTCTGTGGAGCACAGGTCCTGTAGCAATGTCCTCTGTGCATCTCCACAAGGGCAGGACCGATGCCGACCAGCATGGGTGGACAGACCCTGTGGATGGTGGGGGACCCGGGCTGCACCGAGTCGGTGGCAGGGGTGGAGGGGACAGGAAGAGGGGGCAGAGAAGGAGAGAGCTCAGACCCAAAGGAACTGGGGTGGGGAATGCCCCAGAAGCCTCCTCTACCATACAAGTGGCCTCGGTCTGGAATGGAGGGAGGGCTTGGTGTCCAGATGGGAGGCTGGGTGCCCAGAGGTGACAGGCAGCTCAGCCTTGGTCCGCTGCCCTAAGCCCAACCCACTCAAACCCGCTGTGATCTGTGATGAGTAGCTGCTCGCTGCGATTCACTTCATGGACCGTTAAATCATAATCAAAATGCCCCATTTTCCACAAATGTGAGTTTTAAAGCTCTGCCTTGCTCATAATGGGTTCATTATGTTTGGGAATGATAATTTTTTCTGAAAGAACTAATTTCCTATTGTATTATGAGGTTCTGTTGAAAAGGAGGCTCTGTGGGTGAAGGGCCTCGCTGCATGCCCGTCCTGCCAACATCTGTGCCCGTGGGCTTGCCAAAGGTGCCATTCGTTCAGGCCCTACCCCAGGTGCTCAGAGTCAGGGGTCCAGGGTGCTGCCAGGCCCCCACGACAGACGTTGGGCAGCAGTAGGGGGCTTATCGTGAAAAATCTGGGAGAACAAGGTAGAGGGTGGGCCGAGTGCAGGGAGCCCGGGAACCAAGGCAGAGCTGTGCCGAATGGCAGGATCCCCAGGCTGACCCCTCCGGTGCCCTGTGGCCACAGTGACTCTGCTGTCCCGGGAGGAGATTTCCCTTCCCTCCAGTTTCAGGCACTGCAGCTCTCAGTCCAGGTCCGTGGTGCCCCTCCTCACCTAAGACGCAGCTGGAGCGAGCTTGGCATCGATGAAACCAACTAAAACGTGCACAGGGCTCCAGCTGGGGAAGGGACAGTTAGTGCACCGCCTGGGACATCTGAGCAGTCCCAAGTGGTCGAAGTGCGGCAGCTGGCAGGCACAAGGCCAAATTCAGAGGCTGTGCCTGGCTAGAAATGTCCAAGCTCTGGAAAGCTGACACTAGGGACTAAGAATGACCCAGTACCTAAACAATCTGTCCTCAGAATCCACTTCTGGGGCCTCCTCCCTTGGAGGGAGGCTCTGGGAGTCCAGCACTGTTGTCTTCCTGGACCCATGGGTGACCTTGAGCAAGCAGGCCCCTTTCAGCATGCGCAATACTTCGTGTCCTAGGTCTAGGGGGCAGGTCGCAGGTGGAGCCTTGTAGAGCCTCTGGGGACTGGAACGTGGGAGTAGATGCTGGAGGGGGGCAGAACTCAGGCTGCAGATCCCCCTACAAAGAGCACAGCCAAAGCCACGTGTCCTCACCACACCCTGGGGTCAAACCCCTGAACCTGCACCCACCAACCAAATGTGGTGCCCCTCTTCCCTCAGCAGTACCACCTCCTCCTTCCTGCTCCTCAGAAGCCGAGGAAGTCTGGGGCCACACCTGCTTCCAGAAGGGCCACTGGCCCATCCATGTGTCCCAGCCCTGACACCAAGGGAGGGACCTCTGCCAGAGTCTGAGGGGTGGAGACTTGTTCCTCCAGGTTTTCCTTCTGGGGGCTTTCTTCACCATCGTCACCATGACAACTCCCACCGTCACTGTCACCATCACCTGTTGGGGTGCCCCGAGGGAGCTCCTGAGGGGCCGGGAGGGGCTCCGAAAGCACCAGCCTCCACACTCAGCCCTGAACGGCCTATATGGGCACCGGCGCAACGTACTCCATGCTGGGCACGAGACAGGACGCTGTGCCCACTGCAGGGGAAGCTGGGCGTCGGCAGATTCAGAGCACCTGGGCAGGTGGTGCAGGCAGAGGAGGCCCAGTCTGTGGTAAGCAGGTGCATGTGCGTGCTCACACCCTCTGGGTGTGTTTGCAGACCACCTGCACCCCTGCCTCACTACTGCTGCCGCTCAGGGTCTGTTGGGCCTCTTGAGCCTGCCACCCAGGTACAGCCCACAGGACCTCGTCCAGGCAGCTCCAGGGCTGTACATGCCGTCCTAGTCATACTCCACTGATGGTCATCATGCCTCATGATCCAGTCACCTCCGAGTGCATGAGGCTTTGGGCGACAGCCAGATATGAACCCTAACACTCCACATCCCAGAAAGACACAAGCTGGATAACAGATCCAAGGAAGCTGCAGAATGGGGCTTCTCAGCCCTCTCGGCCAGCCGTGCTTGTTCACCAGAGAGCACTGAGTGCAGACCCAGCCCTCCTCCTGGGGCCGCTCACTTTGAGGAATCAGGACCTGGAATCCGTCTGGGCTGCTCCCCAATCCAAGCACTTACCTGTGGGGTCCCTCCCAACCCGGGTACACTGAGCACTCCTGCAGCACCACACAGCACCTGGATCTGCTGGGGATGACAGGTGACTGCTTACCCAGGAGCACAGAGCAGGGGCAGCCAGATAGCAGGCCGAGTCTGCTGGGGAAAAGCAGGGTGTGTATCCGGGCTCAGGCTTCCTAACCCTGAACTCTGTCAGAGCTTTGTGGGTATCTTACAGTGACCGTTCTGAACACCTGTGTGTGGAGGCCCTTTCTCCATCTGAGTAGCACCAGAAACCCAGAGACCTTTGAGGTAAAACCCGGAGACTCACTTGTGGAAGGCACGTGACAGAAGGACAACCTCAAAGTTCAGTGAAAGGAGCCAGGCTTGATGGTGAACCCCAGTAACCCCAGTACTCTGGGAGGCTGAGGCAGGAGGATCAAGTTGGAGCTGAGTGTGGGCAACTTAGAAAAAGCCTGTCTCAAATTTATTTATTGGCTCTTTGAGAGAAGGCCTTGCTACGAGTTCAGGTGGCCTTGTACTATGTAGCCCAGACTAGCCAGAAACTTGTGGTGATCCTGCCTCAGCCCCGAGTGCTGGGGTTACAGGTGTGCACCACCATGCTGTTATTTTGAGACAAGGTCTTACTTTGTAGCCCAGGATGGACTTGAACTCGAGATCCTTCTGTCTCAGCCTCCCACGTGCTGGAATCACAGGCGTGTGCCAGTGTTCATCTGGTAACGCATTTTAATTCTCCTTTGCATCCCTTTGCCTTTTTGTTCCTCCTCCCTCCACCCATCCCTTGACTTCATTCCTTTTTTTTTGTTGTTTTTTTTTTGGGACTGGTGATCGAACTCAGGACCTTGCACTTGACACGCAGGTGCTGTGTCACTGAGCAAAATCTCCAGCCCCTCATTCTTTTTTGGGGAACATTTGTAGTAAGTTAACGTTGGCATTCCTTGAGTGTAAGCTGGTCCGTGTGACACACCTGGCTGTCCTTGAACCACAGAGTGCTATGCAGCTAGAGTCAGCAGTGAGGAAATGGCTGTCCTTGAACCACAGAGTGCTATGCAGCTAGAGTCAGCAGTGAGGAAATGGAAACTTGAGATTGTTACCAACAGGAGGGACACAGCTACCACCTGAGTCGTCCCCACATCCCACTCCTGAAAACTGGCCCCAGCACCTCCTGCTGTTGTGCACCGATCTCTCTCAGACAACAACACCTTTTACACCAGGTTTGGCTTACAGACTTTTTAAAATTCTGGGGCACATATCTGTATTCATCTGTGTTTGGTGAGAAGTGATGTTTAAAATTCGTGCGCCCTTGTTTGTTCTGAGCAGATACGTGCATGTGACTGAAAAACAACTGTGACACAAAATCCCCATGTGGCCCCCCATACCCCCACTTGCTGCGATTTCAGACTGGGGAGGACATTCGTGAGGACAGTTCTAAACATGTTAAGGAGCCCAGCAAGGACACCATGAAAAACTCGCATGACTTTATTTAACTAAAACATATACAAAGGAACAGGAGTTCAACACTAAAACTGCATAAAAAGCCAACATTTGAAAGCAAGTTTCCCCCAACAAAACAGAAGAGACCACATCATCAAATACTAGAACACATCTCGGTCACCCATGCAAGGCCCTTTGGCACAGCCAGGATGGACCAGAGCAGGGTGCTGTCACTGTTCCCATGTCAAACACCACACAGCCTTCCACCTCCACAAGTCCAGGTCAGTGTGGTGCTCGGAACTATATGGCAGTCACTGGTATGAACACAGATTAATGCCCCCCTCGCCCCCGGCCCCAGCACGTCCAGTTCCCAGTCCCAGGCTGCTCCAGACACCTCCAGCCGAAGCTCGCCAGCCCATCCGCCCGCTTCCCCGGCTGCCGAGGAGGACAATGACCAGCCCTTCACAGTCCCTGGTGTCTTGGAGCGGCCAGGGCAATGGTGACTGCCTGGGCCTCAGCCTCTCAGTTCTCCAGCTCAGGGCCGAAGGGCTGGAAGCAGGACAGCTCCCCCAGAGCCAGGACTCCCACGACAGCCAGGTTCTCTACATAGTTCCCGGTCTCCAGGGGTCCTGGGACCTGCCCCCAGGTGGGGAACCATGAAGCAGGGGCTGCGTGCCCCTCATTCATACTCAAGGGTGAGTAGGACACAATGGTGAATCCCTTCTTCTGCAGGATCGCGTATGCAGGGAACAGCTGCTCACTCTGTTGTGTTTTCTCCAGGACACTCAGATGGCACTGCAGCAGGTTGTGCGGATCAGCTGCTTCCTGGAGCTTTAGCACCCACACCTCAGAGGGCTCCAGCAGCACTCTCCAGCACTGGCAGGGGCTCCTCAGGGCCTGCGCTGGGGTCATCTTCCGCAGGTAGATGGTGGTGTCTTGGAAGCCCACCACACAGAAGACCTGAAGATTCAGCAACCAGGTCTCGGCCTCTGCAGGCTCCACTGGCCACATGGTGCCCAGCTCCAGCACCATGGGCTCCACCGGGGACAGAGTCACTCGGGGGAACACTGGCTTTGGAGGAGGGGGGGGGCTCGGCCAGTGGTTGCAGGCAGGAAGCCCATCAAACCTCCAGGGAAGGGCCTGGGTCCAGTCAGCCTGCTCCGGGCCCAGGCCTAGGGGCACTGCACTTTGAGGCTCCAGCTCAGTGGGCACCATGGGGTCATCCAGGTATTCTTCCTCCATCCCCACTGAGGCTGGCACCAGTGCCCAGGACCCCCAGCCAGGCCCAGGCCCAGGCCCAGGCCC